ATATATATATATATATATATATATATATATATACACACATACATACATACATACATACATGTATATACACACACACTGTGTATATTAATATGTACACAAATTACACACATGCATGTATATACTTAAGAAAAATATGGTATGTTCATATATTAAATATTTTTATATAATATAAATTATATGAATATAAATATATACATGTAAATATTTTCTAAATATATACTGTATGTGTGTCTTTTTATATATGCATAATAAATATACACAGTACACTCACATATATCATGTACCCAAAAACTTTTATTTTGGATGCGATTAATCGTTGCCCAGCACTATAAATTATATTTTAATAAATATAAATTGAAATATGCTGCATCAGATCTCAGCTCACTAGGAAGCATAGGTAATGTTTAGTGTAAATATTAGAGGTGGGGGACTCGAGTCACATGACTTGACTCGAGTCAGACTTAAGTCGCAAATTTTAGGACTTGCCTGACAAATATTCATAAAAGACTTGACTTTGACTTGATATTCATGACTTGAGACTTGACTCTGACTTGAGTTAAATGACTCGAAATAACTTGTCTTTCATTCAATAAATATCTGTTTGTTTTTGAACGCACCGCAACCTAACCAAGTGACGCAGCAGGCAAGCAGAGCGTGCGCAGTGTTGCCAACTTAGCGACTTTGTCTATAGATTTAGTGACTTTTTAAAAAAATATAAAAAAAGCGCCTAGCGACTTCTTGGACAAACCTTATTTAGTTTCTGAGACTCGTCGGTACTGCCGCACGAGCGCGAGGTCTTGCTTTCCCAGCGCGCACATCTCTCTCTCTGTGTCTGCTCTGTTCAGCGAGCGGCTGAAAGTAGCAGTGCTTTAGGTTAAACAAGATATTCTGTCACTTCTAACTCTATTTTACATGCAAATATAGCCGAAATCACAGCACAGCCATTGTCTTTATCTTATGTGTATTTGATTTCATTAGATGACGTCGTGATTATGAATCAGGATTTTTGTGCAGATTAACATCTAACGGAGAGATGGTAGTCTTAATGGGCCGCATTTCAGTCTCTATTTCATATTCATCCCGTTGTCTTACAACAGAAACAGAAAAATATACCAGTGAAAACAGTTTTATTGAGAATTTGGCTGCATTAAAATACAGTTTGTGAGCACAATCAAATAAATTTTTTTGCAAGTGGAATGCATTATAAATGGTTATTCACTGTTTATAATGAAATGTCAGCTTTTTTTGGCAGTAGCACTTAGTATATGCATGTGTACAGTACAGTGTCTAATAATTGGTCTTCAGTGTTAGACTTTGAGTGAAAAGCCTATGGATAGTTTATGGGGATGCATAAAAGAAAAACATCATACAGTTGCGAACCCAACCATGCATACAAAAAAAAACAAAACAAAAAAAACCTCAAACTTGCAAGCACTACCATGCACACTCATACACATGCACACACACACATTCACTCACAAATATTAATAAATCACACTCACTCAAATAACCTCTCTCTCTGTTGTGTGATTCAAATATTAATATTTTTTCTTGTTGTTGTTATTCTTTTGTTAAAAAGGAAGGATCTAACTTAAGGATGTGTTCATGTCCCATAAAGGTGATGCCTGTTTGAAGAATGCAATTTGGTGGCACAGAAACCATTTTACTTGAATTGTTTAATACTTTTTCATGGTTTTCTTCCATGTTTGAGGCATATTGAAACAGCTATACCTAAATACTTTTCATGCTTTTATGTTGGACTAATTTCAGTTACATTTACATCTTAGGCTATGTAGTTTAATTTTTATTAATTTATTTATTTTAGATTTTTATTGTATTAACAACTCAGCTGTATGTGGACACTTTTTGAGTATAAATGCATATTTCAATTTTTTTGTTATTGTTGCAAATAAAACTCCCATAGTCCATAACTACTGTAGTTTTAAGTTATTTTAATATATAAAATCAGTTAAATCATCAAACATTTGTATGACTTGACAGTGACTTGCTTGACCCAAGCTACGACTTGACTTGAATTGCTTGACAAAAGCAGTGACTTGACTTGCTTGATTCTCACAAAAATTGACTTGAACTTGCTTGAGACATGAAGGTTAAGACATGAGACTTAGGGTGCTTTCACACTTGGTTCGCTTGTCTGGTCCGAACCAGAGTTCGATTGCTCCCCCCCTCCCCCGCTGGACTGCGTTCATATTATTTTATTTGGGTCCGAACCGCGGTTCGTTTGCATCATCAAGCCAGCAGCCGTTTACCCCGTTGCTTAGTAATGACGGCGCAGGAGAAGGCGGCAAATGCATAACATTGCTCTCTGCACTTTTATATATTTACGTTTTTGAACCGTTCGTTTTGTTTACAAAGCTTCGGTACATAACGGCACTTACGTCTGTCTTACGAATGTACTGCAAATGCTCTAAAGAATGCTGAAGGCGAACAGAAATGAGATATACAGCTCTCTGTCTGCTACAGCTCTCTGCCAGTCACGCTCGTCAGAAAAGTGAGTGAAACGCACACAAACACACATTTTTATCAAATAATACGTCATTAATAGCGGTTCACTTCCGCGATTTGGTACGATTGTGTTCACATCAGCAGCGAACCCGACCATACCGCAGTTCACATGAACTCAATTGAACCCGGGTGTGCACCAAAAGTGCTAGCGTGAAAGCACCCTTACTTGCGACTTGCACATGTGTGACTTACTCCCACCTCTGGTAAATATGCATGTGCATGCAAACACTCACTTAAAAGCCATCTGAACCAGGTGAGCGAGGACATCCTGTGCATCTAGCGTGATGCGACTCAGATCCTTGTCCTGTTTGACGAAGTTCAGCAGCTCTGAGGCGTTAGCCATCCAGAAGGCCAGAGCCCCGGCGATGTTCTTCTGTTTCTGTAATGCACAGAGATGGGCCGTTACACACAGCTAAAGCAAAACAATCCGACGTACAAACGACAAAGAAAAGAGTTACAGCCATGAGAAGCACTGAGTAGCACTCCCGGGATAGACATGTGCCTCTGTCCAACCCTCCCAGCCTCCAACAACCAGTCACCGCGTCCAGACAGAGTAGAAATCATTCACATGTTAGAGTTAGCTCAAGCTAGGCACGACTGACTGGGAAGCTGCGGTGACTGGTTGCTCTGGATCCCACATCCCTGCAACACAGAGTAGGGATACACACGGTCCGGAACTACCGGACCTCTGTGTATACCTGCACACGTCTATCCCACGTGACGACGACAGCAACCCCCCGCCCGACCCTCCCGAATACGTCATACTGGCCACAGGACGCATCCATAAGAACAATGACGTTAACCACAGACATGAAGTCAAATGAAAAGGAAATTAAAAGTTTCCAAACAAAGCAAAAGAACATGGGGTAGTCTCTCATCCACACTGAAGTGCAGTAAGCAGAGGTCAACAATGGAAGATGCCGCAATTAAAATGTTGCCGCAATCAGAGTTTGTTTTTTAGTATCACATGGTCCAGGTTGAGTCGTAATGAGGGGTTATGAACGATTGCGTCCAGCTGTAGGAGGAGGGATTACTTAGTTGGCTTGGGTTGTTTGCTTTCTGTTATGGGGTGATAAAAGAGGCATGGAAGACGGAGCCAAGCCGACAGATAGAACAGAGAGAGAGAGAGAGAGAGAGAGAGAGAGAGAGAGAGAGAGAGAGAGAGAGACAGAGAGAGAAAAAGGAGAAAAAGGACGCCTCCCTAACAGTGCGAATTCGTACCTGATCACCTTCAGCAATCTCCTGTAGAGATAGTAGGTGTGGGGAAGAGGGGGTGGGGGACAGACATCCGACAGGACAGAGAGAGAGACTGTCAACAACAGCCATGGCATGGACAGAATTCACAGGCATGTAAACACATAGACATTCACACTCACACAGGACAGGTCACATCATCATCATCTCGCACTCACTGCCGTACGGGACGTCCGAGTCATCTAGAGCAATTTTACTCGATTTTATAATTAATGCTGCAGTGTAAAGATACAGCTGCTTTTCTGTGATGCCAAGGATGACATTTACAGGCCACTAGATAAATGCTCTTTTTTAACTTCAATAAGAAATATTTCTTAAACACCATATCAGCATATTAAAATTATTTCTGTAGGATCATGTGACACTGAAGACTGGAGCTTCATGATGCTGAATATTCAGCTTTGCATCACAATAATATATTACAATATTATAATATAAAGCAGTTCTGTTCAATTCTAATAATATTACTATTTTACTGTATTTTTCATCAAATAATGCAGTCTTGGTAAGCATAAGAGACTACTTTCAAAAATATTTAAAAATCTTTTGAATAATAGTGCAAATGTGCTAGTGAAATCATTAAAGGTAAAAAAAAAAAAAAACTTGTGTCTATAATAACTAGCAATAAAAAGCAGCAAATGATGGTTATTTTTGTTTTAAGAGAAAACTATGATTTTAAAACTACTGATGTTAACAATCAGGATTTGACTAATGACAAACTTACTACTAAACATTTTGATCTGAGTAGATAAAAAGATACTTCAAATAACAAAAAAAAAAAATCCAAATTCCAAATATCCTAATGTCTTGCTACCAAGCCTTAAATTAATTCCCTCTCTTTCTGAGATTATGTTTCTTGTTTTCTAAGTTTAGGTCCTTAAATATGTGATGTGAGGCTTAAGATTTTGGATTTACCAAAAATTCAGAAAAAGAAAATCAACATTTAAATGGATTATGACACTAACGCAGTTTTTTTTTTTAAAAGAGACAGATTGTATCCATTTATATAAACGACAGTCTGTTTTCTCATTTTAGATGCTGAACTAAAGCAGTGGTTCTCAACCTGCGGCCCGTCACGAATTCAAATGCGGCCCACCATGCTGAATGGTTAAAAAAATAACTTTCAGTTTTACAATTCATTTTAGTTTTTACATTAATTTAAAAATGTACTAAACAAATATAAGCTATAACGTTTTTGTTATGTAAAATAATTTTGGTTTTCATATATTATTTTCAGACATGAGCAGACCTGTACTCACGTAACTAACGTTACGCATTTAACAAACACTTACAAGCGCGCACTTTGGCAGAATTAAATTCAAATAGTCATCAGCAGCCATTAGTTTGGTAAAATTGAGCATCAGAATGGACAAATTTGTTATTAAGGGAGAAAAACGAAATGTGGAAAATGCCAGCAAAGGAACACATACAAACAAGAATAGTCGCAGTATCAGCAGTGAAGGTAGGAGAGTGCTGGATTTTCGGTTTGCCCTGGGTGGGCCACTTAAAACCCGCAGGCGCTGACCAAATAAGATAAATAAACAGAGAGCATGTGGACCTCATTTCTGAACTGTAAAGAGGCGTTTACATAGTTATTTGTGGTGAGCAAATGATAGAAGTGAACATTGGCGATCCAATGAGGCCGTATGCAGTGACTTGACAGTCGAGAAAAAAAGTTTAACTTTATGCAAATGAGCAACGACTCTTCGTTCATGTTACTGTGAGCGATTTCACTGTTCTGTAGAATTTGTGTCTGCCCATAATTTGTAATCATTATCAGTGAGTGCGATTCATGATTCACTGAGTTTGATTCATGCACTTATAATCAGGCTCGTTCATGATATTTACAAGAAAGTAAATAAGGAACTGAATACTTTTATTCAGCAAGGGTGCATTAAATCGATCAAAATTGACAGTAAAGACATTTGTAACGTTACAAAAGATTTTGAACTTTCTATTCATCAAAGAATCTTGAAAAAAGGTATCAAATGGCTTAAACACAAATGCTTTCAACATTGATAATAACCGTTTCAAGCAGCAAATCTGCATATTATTTCTGAAGGATTTCTGAAGACTGTAGTAATGGCTTTTGCCATTAAATTACATTTTAAAACATTTGAAAAACTGAAATTTAGAATTATAATAATATTTCACAATAAGATTGTTTTATTGTATTTTTGATCAAATAAATGCAGCCTTGGTGAGAATAAGAAACTTCTTATACATAAAAAAATCTTTCCGACCCCAAACCTTTAAACATTAATGTATATACAAACACTTCTTCTTTCAGAAGCAACAAGAAAATCTTGTATCGCGAGAGAAAAATGTCGTTCTAATTTTACATATCAATATGGCAACTTGGTGACAATCGGAAGCTGTTGAACCAAGCACTGCTGGGAAAATATGGTGCATGAATCAGGTAAAACAAGGTACAGAGACAAACACACACATGTACAGTCATCCACACACAAATAAACACAGGGGAAACACTGAGTGCAGTAGTTTAAGCACTGTTTGCTGAGGCAATGACCTGAATCGATGAAAGCAGAGTGAAATAAGCTTTAACACGACAACTACAAAAGCATGTATAATGTAGCTTCACAGACAAATCTCTACATCAGAGCTACAGCGATATGTCTAAAGTATAAATAATACAGTTATTATATAATAAAGCCACAACTTCCACTGTAAAAAATAATTCAGATCAATAATTGCTATCAGAAGATTATTCTAGTAAAAATGGCCAACACCCACCTGGATAACTCCTTCCATCATGCTCACCATCTTGTTGACAATGGCGATGACCTTGTGTGTTCGCTCAGAGGGGCTGATGTCGGGCCGGTATTGGCTGGACATGACGTAGCGGCAGGTCATGTACAGCACATAGGTGGGAGACAGCTTGAAATGCACCGTTGAGCTGTTGGTGTAGTTAATGATGGCAGACAGGAAGGCATCCTCGGCTATGGGAGGGAATCATGGGATAGAGGAAGCAGAGAGAGTTTAAATTGGGATGGACCAAGAAGCTCTGATGAATGACATTAGCATGCAAATTTATTTTACCATTAAAGTTGCACATGCATTTTTTTTTTTTTGAGCCTGTTACCTGAGCTGTCAACTCCATGTTACTGATCACACTATATTATAACTGACAGTGAAAAGCATGTGGAAACATCTACTGTAGTATAATAGTTCATTACAATAGAATTCATTTTGCAAAGTGATGTTTGAAAACATGTATGTGGATCTTCTTTTATAAGCTGCTCAGCCATATCAGATTTGAAGACTGAAACTAAAATAACACATAAAAACAACATGACCATAACATAACCATAACTTAAAATAACACAACACAACAAAACAAACCACAACACATTTCATAACGCAACATACCTATATCACATCATAACACAAAACATGACTGTGATGACACATAACACTCATAACATAACTCAACATAAAATCATAACATTTCAAAACATACAACACATAACATGACACCACATATTACCATAACACATTTCATAACACAACAGATAACATGAAACATAACATGACACATAAGACACAACATACAACCACAAGACATAAAGTAACAGCACATAACAGGACTTTGTCATCTTATTTTGCGATGCTTTGAGCTAAATATGAAAATTGTAATGTACAAATGCGAATGAAACATATAGTGGGTGATTATCTGCTCTGGGTTGTGATGTGCCAGCGGTACTAGGCTCAGTCCATCCATGCAGCTACACAAAAGGAAATTCTGGCATAATACTCACTTCTGCCACCTAATGGCATGGTGGGACAATTAAATATTCTATTAGCCTACAATTTCTTCTTTTTTTTTTTTTGGACAGATATATTTTTGACAGACAAATATAGATAAATTACAATATAATTTATCTTGAACTGACTTAATGATGAAACCAGTTTTCTAGCAGTCATCAATACTTCCCATCCATTGATCTATGAGGCAGCAAACCATTAGTGATTTCTATAATTAGCTGGCTGTTTTGCTTTATAATCAGCAGAGCCAATAAAAGAAACTACATGAAGGCATCAACCAGATCAAGTGGAAATACTATGTTGTGTCTGCAACACCTGGAAAAAGCCAATGACAAAACATGAAAACAAACAGAACATTAAAAAGCCGCCACACACCAGACAAATCACATGACCCAGTTCAGATCAGATCGCTGAAATTAAACCAGCACAGATCAATTGGTTTTGCTTTGCACATGGATGTGGTACTCACAGTTTTCCCTGAACTCGATGTTGGCCGGCAGAGTGAGTTCTGGGCCATCCTGGGACCTGCGGGGAAAGAATTGTTGCTCTATGAACCAGTTGAGATAGGACAGATTGACACCACTGTCTACAGACGCCCAACGCTACAGAGACCCCACTCCTGTCCTGCCGTTCAACATCCTGTCACAGATGCCAAACTGTGCTGTGTGTGTTTGAATGAGCATTCTCATCTCCACTGGATTATTAATGACAAGACTGAAGCCAGGTGAGCGGAGGGACCAGGTGTCTCAGGTTCAGACAGAGGAAGAGGGTTAGGTTACATATAGTGACCTGTAGCCGGCACTGACTCCATAGAGACCCTCGCTGACGGACAGCTGACGTGCACAAAACCTGCTGTTACTAAACAGAGAATGTAGCTAACATTGCATTGCTTTCTGCGCCATTAACTAAATCATTTGTTTTCACATTTTCTACTCTACCTGCAGAGGAAAATCCACAGAATTCTTAATGATGCATTTTCAAGATCATCCAAATAAAAGATAATAAATAAAAAGATTACAACAATAATGAATTGTGAAAAATTAGGGTAGGATCATTTACTTAAAAATTATAATAAAAGACAATAAATATTTCACTTTATTTTTTATTTAAAAATTGCAAAATAAAATGTATTAATAAGATATTTTATTTTTAATTTAATGTAATTCATTTTTTAACAGTAATAATAACAATAATAATTTATTATCATTATTATTACTACTACTTTCTAAAAAAAAAAAATGCCCCTGGCTTCACTTTGCATTATTCATTTGCATAATTATTTTGATTATTTCCTCTTTCTTTTGGAACATTATGAACACAACCCAACAGGTTGCTTTTATTTTCTGCTCATTATTCTTAGAAAAATACATAATTAAACGTGTTGTGAAATTAAATAAGGTAAAATGTGTTAATAATGCTACACTCATATTTGCAACTAAAATAATAATTAGTCAAAAATTTGTCAAAAATATTTACATTTTACTTGGAATGTCAAGGTTAACTATTATACACACACAGTTCTGCGTATTTCTGAAAAAATTATCAGAACCCTAAAGGCTGACAGGTCAAAACAGTTGAGACATTTAACAAAAATCATGTATCAAACTGAATAAAAACACAGATAAACTTTTCTTTCTGAAATACATGGAATTAATTGCAATGAAATATTTTAAATGTCTGATGGCCTCAAATCTCAACATGTGAACGTCAAGAATTGACATTTTTCAGAAAAAATACAGAACAAAATTGAAATTTTCAATTTGGCCCAACTATGAAAATTAAGCACACAAAGTCAACAAAATTCTTACCTTCCGTCATGTTTGTTAAAGTCCTGCTGTTCTCCTCTAATCATGGGTTTCACCAGGCCTCTTTCACTGTTTCCTGAGCGCTCCATCTCCAGCTTCCCTAAGCTCTGAAACCACCAAATATCCCATCAGAGACCCATCACAGCACACACAAAAACATAGAGAGCCGAAAGAAGCAGGCAGATGTGGCACCTTGCTTGTAGGGAGAGCGGAGCCACTATGAACGTCCCCGTGAAGGTCAAAGGTCGTCTCTGGGACACTTCAGAGACAAGAGAGAAACACAAAAAGGGGGGGGGGGGGGGGTACCAGTGGCCAAACAAACAGACACACACAATATAACCACCTGCATATGCTCTAAAACACACAATTACATAAAACCTGAGCTGAATGGAAAGTCAAACAAAAGCAGCGGCCCACAGCCACACGAACACCCGGATACATTTGTGTGTGTTTACGAGCACTGAAGACAATCAATAACGAGCCGGCATTCTAACCAGACTAAATGAATGAGCAGAACCCCACAGCCTAAAGATACACCCGCACAGTGTTCGAACAAAATTACCGTAAATTACAAAATTACAAGGCTACCATGTTCAACAGCTGTCAAACAGCTGTTTCCAGCTCTTTGCGTTCAGATGTAGAGACATAATATATTCAGGTATCATCTATACTGTAGCTTGGGAGTCATTTCCATGACATTCATTACATTTCTAAAGCTAGAAACACTTTAGGCCTACATATTAAATAACCATGTTGTAATATCCATTTTTGATAATCCAGTGAATTAAATACTTTACAAATGAAAAGTACAGTACTTTTTTAGGGAACTTGATGGACACAAACCAAAAGATATGATTATACTGATAATAAATTAAGCCTGGCATCAATGCGAAAACAGCTTCATGTTATGTAACTCCAAACAGTACAAGTAACATTACAAAATGTAGAGTTCTGACTCTATTAAGCCACAAAAACAGCCTGTATTGTGATGTATTAATGCGACAAGTGACACTGGCAACCACAAACAACTTCATTTCTTAAATGTCCTGCTCTGAATTTTCACTTTACTTGAACTTTCTCACTCTTACATGCAAATCACGCAGCTGTCCTACTCACTGATAGTACAGATTTATCTACTGCGATATTAATGCTAAAGCAAAGTACAAAGCAGCAAATCAGCATACCAGAATGATTTCTGAAAAATTCAGCTTTGCCATCACAGGAATAAATGACATTTAAAAATACATTTAAATAGCAAACAATCATTTTAAATTATGGTTAAGGTTAAAAATGTGTGTTTTTACATTATTTTCGATCAAATAAATGCAGCCTTGATGAGCGCAAGAAGCCTATTTTTTAAAAATCCTACCCACCCCAAACTTTTGAAAAGTAGCGCATATAGAACTTTTCTTTGCATTTACCTGCAGTTTGAGTAAACATGCCATCTAGCCTACATGTTTCCACATAACACAAATCTGTAAAATCAGATATTACAAGGACTGAGCCCTTGCCTGATCCTTGCCATCCATGTCCTGGAATGAGCAGTGCTGTAATCCAGCAGAACATCAGGACATCAGATTAGAAATTCTGCGTACCGCCACAAACACATGTTTTCACATCAAATGAACACAGGAAATGAACCTAATTGAACCTAGACATTACGGACAAATGGCCTGAAATGAACGCAGACCTAATTACTGCACATTCACATGCATGCCAATAGGATGCGCATGGGATTACTTTGCATTAAAAGTTGCGTTCAAAAAAAACTCAGAAACCCAAAACAAAAAACAGGAATGAAATTCTAGAAAAGCTTTATAAAGAAGCTTAACAGAAGAAAGTTCACATGTTCTAACGAAGTCATAATAATAATAAGAATAAACTATTACTAATGAGGAGGGCTGGGAAAATTAGAATATTTCCATATCCTGAGGCTACGTTGTTTTTCCCCACTTTTCACACAAACATCATAAACTGTTATGAATCCATATATATTATGTTATATTATATTACATATTATTATAGTTTGGGGATTTAAAAAAAAAAGAAATTAATACTTTTATTTAGCAAGGATGTATTTATTTGATCAGAAATGACAGTTAAGAAATGTATAATGTTACAAAAGATTTCTTTTTTAAATAAATGCTGTTCTTTTGAACAGTATTCCACATCAGAAAAAATCTTGTTGACCCCAAACTTTTAAATGGTAGTGTATGTGTATGTGTGTGTATGCATGTGTATATATACACACACACACACCAACCAATATTACTTAAAAACACAGGTTTCTGAACAAACATACATGTTTAAAGTTCAAACAACATATTTTAATTAGCATTTTATGATTAGATAAACAAAAACACAGTACTGTTAAAAATCTAAATTAAGTAAAGTTTATAGGAAACAAACAAGCACAACAAATCTTCATAGTCACCTGATAACTCAAGTGAAACTCAATGAAACACGTGTAAAATGTGGATGAACTCACCAGGACAGCTCTACACTGCTCTCGCTCTTGTCTGATATGTTTAACAGCAGAGTACGGTGAAGAGTGTGTGTTGGTGGGAGCGTCACTACACTCCTCCCCGTCTCAAACACACTGTTTCTTTCTGAAATGACACTGGGACACACCCCTCTCCAACCCACGCTGATCAGATTATAGAGTCTCTCTGCGCCTGTGGCCAACATAACCTTCCGCTCACCCTCTCCCTGTCACTCTCCCAGCCTCTTTTCCAACAGGTCTCACAGTAAAGGCTGCATTTAACACTAGAAATCTGACAGGACGGTCACTGCAGAGAAAAACCACGTGCAAAACCTAAGAAACTCCTGTTGCCATGGCAGCAGAGCATCCCATAACACAACTCGAACTGGTCGTTCAGAGAGACGGCAGAGTCACACACACACACACACACGCATCATAAAGTGAGAACAAACAAACCAGAACACGCACGCAAGACACTTAGACATCGAAATACTGCCATCTAATGGCTCCACAAGTACAAAACACCTCATGAGCAACTGTGTGTGTTTTCCACTTTTGAAGAATTTTGACATCAACTTGTAATGTTATTCAACCTTTCTTGCACCACAAAAGAGGCATTATTAAGTTATTTCATAATCACTTTCAAGTCTCACTCCATCTCTTGGAACTAAACCATCGGTTTTTGCTACTGTACCTTTAAGATTACTATTTTCACCCAGATACTGGTGTCAAAACTTAATGAATTATCTGCTCTGGTCCTGTGACATGTGTAAACTGTGTCTGTAAAGAACCTGCATATCACTAGAGCTCTTATTAAAGCCTGAATTAAACCTTCAAAAAACTTTCTATTAATCACAAAATCCTGACAAAAATATGACACAATAAACAGGCTCTCCTAAACTGTCCTTAAATGTAGCACTGGAAAGTTAGATTAATTTAGGTGAATCGCATCTTACAAATGATTCATCTGAATCAAGTGATTTAAAAGAATGATTCACCGATTCATTCAATGATTTGCAGAAGTCGGAGGTGTTTTATACATAATTTTTATAGTTAAACATGGCTGTTCAACATGTTTTTGACTCAGATAAAGAAACTAAAGTGTTTAGTTGTTAGTTGCATTTAGTATCAATTCACCTGTTCATTCTCATGCGGTCATCCTAGCTATGATCCTTTTATGAAGATATTTAATATCTTCAATGTAGTTCGCTACTTTTTGTTAGTAGCTTTAAATACAGCTAATTACTTTTTTAAAAAGTAGCTTGGCAAGCTATAGTTTTCAAAGAAGCTTCCCCATCACTGCGTCTAATGTTACACAGTACAACAGATGGTTCATTGTGCTGCGCTGCCACAGCTGGTCAATAAACGATCAGACAACTGTATGAGTTAAAATCTTTCTGGACACACTCAATGTGATTCTTATCAGGTTATATTTGCTTTTCAGCTCTATTTGGGTACAAAATATGACTCACCCTGATTTGTGTCTGCCCTTCATCATGGGCCCTGGGTCTCTCTTGGACATGCTGTGGTCATAGCTGGGGTCTACGAATTTGAAGACGTGAATGGCTCCGAACTGGACCGTCACGCCGCTGCGCAGAACCGTAGTGTCAGAGATCCGCTGTCCATCCACGAACGTCTCAGCGTCCAAACTGACAGGGGTCACGGTCACAAGCCCGTCCGCATGCATCAGGTCACAGTGGTGAGGCAGAATCCCAGGCCCAAACAGCTGCGGTGCGGAAAAATCAGGGATGTGTTTTTAAACGTATTTTCACCATTCACTGTTCTACACTACTGCGCTGAAGACGTCATTTATGCGTTTTCCTTACTTGAATGCTTCCATCTTCACTTCGGTCAGATCCGACCTCAGTGAGGCTGTGCTGTAGTCGGTAAAGTTTGGGTTTATCCCTGGAGTCTGACCCATCTGCAGAGCAGCCGCAGAGCAGTGAGACACACACATTTGCGTTTGTCTGCATTTCACTCACATTCGATTCAAAACACAAGCATGTGCACTCTTGCACAACCCATTAGTGTCACTTCTGTGCTTTAGGCCATGTAATTAAGAATATGCAAAACTACATGTTTCTAAATTCGTCTAGTCAATGGGCTAACTAAAATGCTGTGTAATTAGGCTGTTTTCGATCCTGAACTTAAAGATGCAAGTCCTCCGAGAGGGTTTTCCAGGGTTGTACAGTATGCTAATTAAAGCACAGCCACTAAAAATATACCACCGTTCAAAACGTAAAAAAAAAAATTAAAAAAAAAAAAAATTAATACTTCTACTCAGCAAGAACACATTAAAATGATAAATAATGTTATTCTTTTGAACTTTCTGTTCCTCAAAGAAACCAGAAAAAAATTATCACGGTTGCCACAAAAATATTAAGCAGCACAACTGTTTTTTAACATTGCTAATAATAAGAAATGTTTCCTATGCAGCAAATCAACATATAAGAATGATTTCTGAAGCATCACGTGACACTAAAGACTGGAGCAATGATGCTGAAAATTCAGCTTTTCCATCAGAGGAATAAATTGCATTTTAGAAAATATTTAAATAATTAAAAAATCGTTTTTTTTTTTTTTTTATTGTAATATTTCACAATATTACTGTTGTCATTGTATTTTTGATCAAATAAATGTAGCCTTGCTAAGCATAAGAGACGACTTTCAAAAACATTTAAAAAATCTTACTGACCACAAACTTTAGAATGGTACTGTATATAAATACTGAGCTCACTAATCAACTAGTTGGTCATTAAATGACTAGTCAACCCTCATGACATATCCTTACTAATAATCGTCAAGTACCTTCCATGAATACTGTGCAAAAACAAAGACTTTTCTATTATCAGAAAATTGGAATTTGATCAGAATTCTTGGAACTTGCTGAGAAACAATGAACTTTTATAGGAAATCCTGGGTTATAAATGATGATGGGCTGGTTAGGTTTGTATTATAATTCTTAGATTAGTGAGATGATTGGCAATTAGGAGTTGTAAGCAAAATGCAAAGCACAAACAGTAAAAGAAGGGAATAAGGTTTAAAACAAGACAGTGCGTGTCAAAATATCTTCATAATACTGATGTTAGAGCCCCTTTTTTATATATATTTTGGGAAAAGTATTTTTATCAGTCGACGGAAGCCTGAGACAGCCTAGGCGACTTTATAGTTATTTTATGACATTTTGCTAAATTAAAAATACAGACTTTTAGGCAAGGATCTCTTACCATGAATACATTGTAAGATATTTAGCACTTCCGTAATAGTCTAAGTGGGCAATGCTGGGAACTTTGCACCAATACAAGGAACAATGTGCTATAAAACTAAATGCTTTACTAGAAAATACCAACAACTTGTGCCAACAATTTGACCACATAACTACACACATTACTTTTAGGGCACAAAAAACAAAAAACAAGTAGGTCAGTCAGTTTTCATTTTGCAGAAGTGTTTTATAGCTTCTCTTTCAGAGTGTGCAAGAGAGAGAGAGGTAGAGCTGGGGGAGGGTGGGAGGAGCAGGCTGGTTTGTGTTACCTTCATGATGACGGTAGTAGTAGGCATAATGACTCCCTCGCCCTAGGACGGGACGCATGCACAGGAGCCAGGAGCAGACAGAACGGCGGGACACACACCGACACACGCCAACAACACGCCAGAGAGAGAGAGATACAGAGAGAGGAAAAGCCAAAGAGTACCAAACTCAGCAAGAAAGAGAAAAAAGCGCCATAAGCAAGTGGTCAGTCTGTCAGCTGACACACACTCCAGAGAGGGGTAAATGTGTCAATCAAATCTCAATTTCCAAGGCCCAGAGAACCCTCATGACCAAATACTACACCATATCTACACCGGACAACAGCACGTCACAATATGACAAAACCATAATTGTCCCATTATAATCAACAAAACAGTCTACACTAGAAGCAATTTGGTTGAGGAATGTGCAGTTTCTTTTTTTTTCTCAGATTGACAGCTACTCCAACCATATTTTGTGTCCACTGAAAATAATTTTATTTACATAAGTGAACTGCCGGGTAATAATTTGATTTGGTATGACTCACATATTTGTTATATCACTCATGATGCATCTATAAAAAAATTAATTACTTTAAAAAATATATAATATAATAAGTATTTTATGAGTAAGTATTTTTCTTCCCTCTCTATATATTCTAAAACAATATAATGTAATATAAAATAAAATAATTATGATAATTATAATAATAATAAATTACATAAAATAATGTTAACTGAGTATATAAATCATTTAAAAATAGCAAAAATGCTAATTAATGTAATATAATACATAAAATGTGTTTATATACATAACAATATATATATATATAAATATATAAAGTAAATTTAGTATAATAAAATAGTATAATAGTATATTAAACAATAAACTATTTAGTATAATAAAGTATAATATTAAACAAATAAATTATTATAATATCATAGTTTTATCAATATTAAAATGTATTATAATAACATAGTATTTATTATATAATACATAAAATTGAATACATAGTACATAGTATATTATTAAATAAAAAAGTCCAAATGAATAATATCAAATAATATACCATAAAATAATATTTAAACAAAATAAATTGTTTATTATTAGACAAAATAATATACAGTAATTTAATATAACAACAATATAACAGATAAAGTTTGTAGAAATAACTTAAATGTTTTTATATTATAAAATAACTCATGCAAAGTACAATTTTTATACTAATGTTTTTTTTGTTGTAAATAAAATAAAAGTCACCCAATTAATTGTTCCTGAAGTTATCACTGATTGGTTAGTGAACTTTTCGAAGTGATGTGAAGCTTTAATGCTTTTTTGTCTTTGCAATGCGACGTGGGTTGCCTCTAGTATAGACACAGTGTCATTACACATCAGGGGAGTTCCTGCTCAACTCTTTGCAGTTAAAAAGCATTGGTTATAAACGCAGTGACAGGGTTAGTTGTGGCCGTAGCAGGGGGAGGAGCAGTATGCAAGCAGCAGTTAGACTGAGAGACAGCGTTAGTGAGGGTCAGATCTAGATGTGAATTTTCAACTCTAAAAAAACAACGAGTGAAACTAAGGTATATTTTAAGGGATCTCACTAGCTGACTCTACAGTGGTCCAGATACTGAACTCATTTGTTGGCCATAGCTCTACTCATGCGTGAATGTCAGCGGGCAATCGGTGGGCCGCTCTTCACAGCTGTCACATCAGTGCAACTGAAACTCTAGTGCAGGCTTAGATCAACACAACTGATCCAGGAACAGCTCTGCTAGCATTCAATGACTCACAAAGGCCTCTGCTTCTGCTCTAAAGTTCCTGGAAAGAGGATGTGCTGTCATAGTGTGTTTTTGTGTGTCACCTGGGCTCAGTTCAACCAGGTAGGGCAGTTTCTCGGGAGGAATGGATCCGTGAGGCGGCCCCATCCTGTTGTCGGGTTTACGTCCTTTCCTTGGAGCGTAGTCTGGAGGACGCTTTTTCAGTTGGAACACTAAGGCCTCTGTGAAATTGATATAATAGCACATTAAAGTCAACAGGGGGCGGTATAACATGGTGTAAATGAGAGGCTCTTGTATTAAACTTATTTAAATGCTTTAAGCATGTCAAATTAAGGCATAAATAATATAAAATGCATCTACACTACAGTTCACAAGTTTGGGATCAATAAGATTTATTCTTTTTTTTTTTTTTTATAAATAATACTTTTGAACAAGGATACATTCAATTAAATATTTCTATTTCAAATAAAAGTAAAAAAAAAAAAAAAAAGAAGAATGCTAAAAGAAAAGAAAACCTGTTTCCACAGAAATATTAGGCAGCACATTTTCAACACTAATAACAAAAAAAGGATTCTTGAGCGCCCAATCAGCATATTAGAATGATTTCTGAAGGATCATGTGACACTGAAGACTGGAGTAATGATGCTGAAAATTCAGCTTTGCATCACAGGAATAAATTATATTTAAAATAGATTTAAATATAAAACAGTTTTGTAAATCGCAATATTTCACAACATTACTGTTTTTACCGTATTTTTATCAAATAAATGTAGCCTTTGAGTGCAGAAAAACAAAACCAAAAAAACATCAACACCAAACTTTTGAAAGACATTGAAGATGTTCCAAAAAGCTCCAGAATTTGTCCAAAAAATTTGCTTAAGAAATGGCACGTGGCTGACCTTTATCGCTTGTCCAGTCTCTGAGGATCTGCAGAGGGCAATCTGTGTCGTCTAGTATGGTCTCCTTCACTGGTTTATCATTTGCATGAATCACCTGCACAAAGCGAACATGCACACACTTTCAGAGTCTAAAAAATTCAACTTTATTACCCAAAGAACTAAAGTTTGAGTTCTTTGGCAAAGCATGCTAATATTTCACAGTGGGCACTCCAGGCAGGCATTAGACACCTGTTTTAGTGACAGATACACGCTCCCTGCCACGATTTAACAGCAGCTTTATGGACGAGCTGTGTATGTAATTAAAATTGGCCAGAGTGATGGGAGAGGATATTACAATGCCACAGAAACTCTCAGTGTGATTGGCTGAGACAGCATCTGAAAAGAGCTGGTGAGCAACAGTGCAGACAGCCCAAGGTTGACCGTTTTTTACCAGCGATGTTTTCCATTCGCTGACAGCAGATTAGACTGGCCACTTCAAGCACTTCCTGCTCTCCTCCTCGTCCCCATGTATATCTCTATCTTTCTCTCAGTGTAGTGCTAAACGTGTGCAGGCAGGGCACCTTACAACTGCACACCTGCACACTTCAATTACTCTCAGCAGAGGTGAAGCAGATGTCAGCTCCTGGCTTTAATCTGGAAGACAAATCGTGCAGTGGCCTGATGAAATATGCTGGATTTGATCACAGGAGGAGGGGTCCACGGAGAGAGCCGGACATGGCAGAGACGTTCAATCAGCTTAATAATTCTACAGCAGACCCACATGGTATTCTGAAGAAACTTTCACAGATTTCCACAGAATTGAAAGGTCCATGATTAATGATTATTTTACATGCCCTATGTTCATTTGACTTAATTCTCCGCTACAACACATTTTACTAGGGATGCCCGATATTACAATTCTGGTAAACACCTATAATTATGCTGTAATGGTCGATGTTGATCGATAAACAGCCAATATCAAAATTTGCAAATTTCAAAATCTGTAAAATCCTCTCTAAATGTATGTCAATTAAAGTTAAATCAATTACTACTAATAACAACAAATTATTAATAAAATAATTAATAATAATAATTGAAAACATGTATGGGTATCTACAGTTTCAAAAATCAAATGAAAGACTTTTAAGAGCTTTTTAAGACCTACATAAATAAAACGAATACCTTATGTCCATACAGAGGAAACCCATGCAATTTTAAAATCTCAGTTTATTTTACATAATTTACTGTGGTTTACGCATTAATTTGTTGTTAATGCTGGACATTTAATTCATTCATTATAAACATATTTGTACTTTGAAATATAAAGCGCTCACATTTATTTAATTGAACCATGGTCTTTTGAAGTTTAATGAATCACATTAGGCCATAGTGTGATTCCTAATTTTCCATCCTCAAATGTAAGAACTCTTATGATATTTAAAAATGTTGCTGTACCATTTAAGATATTTACAACTTATGACATTAAATTTGATAAATTAATTTATTAACATTTAAAACAAGACTTTTTAAAGAGCTGCAGAGAGACTGTAAATAAATAAATAAATACGTAAATGAATTTAAGCATCATTATAAAAGTATGAAAAAATTCATACACATTCTTAGATTCATTAAAGATTACATTTAACAGTGTTATTAAATTATTGTTTTGAAAAATTTACTTTTAGTCACCATTAGATGACGGCAAATCTGATCTAAATGTAAAACTATGGGAAATGAGCATGCACAATTAAATATCCATGACATAGTATCAAAATATTGTCCATCCCTTCATTCTACCATCTTAAAATCCATCCTGCAGATTTTAAAAACACTTTCTGACAGAGCTGCATTTATCATAGGAAAGTACAACTCTCTGAAAGCATTAGAAAACTCACACTGTGTTAAACCTCACCTGGGCGATGCAGTAATCTCTGGGATTTTCCTTCTCCAGCCCGTATTTCTCCAGAGCCTCGGCCACAGCAAAGTCAGCCATATCAGTAGTTGAGAGCAGGATGGTCTTGTAGGGAATGTTTGGCTTCAGACTATCGGCGTAGATCCTCAGAGTCCCTCCTGAAAGAGAGAGATTGTGTGAAAGATAATTAAGAACTAATAGTGTAGCTTAGCGGCAGACCGATATATCGGCGAGGCCAATTAATCAGATGATACCTGGCTTTTCGAGATTACTAAAATTGGCTGATAATACAAGAGAATTAAGAACTAATAGTGCAGATTAGTGGTAGACCGATATATCGGAGAGGCCACTTAATCAGAATTGGCTGATAATCATGCCCATTAACTCCATGCACAGCTACCTTGTGTCTGATCCAATGTCTAAAGGCAGGCTGATATATAATGGCAAGGCCTTTACTGATGGCCTAGTAAATGAATTGTAAAGATTTAGGGTACCAGCATTAGCACAGAAAATATTCCTCTTAAAACACCACCCTATGTTCTGAATTTGTGCATTGTACATTGTGTCCAATGTAGGTTGAAGGACTTTATTAGTACGGCAGCACACAGCATGAGAACTCAAACATCCCCAACACTAGGATCTAAACCCAGCCGCATGCTCGACTAAGCCTCTTTAACCAGTTCACACACTGCTTAACTCTTACCGGACGGGGTGAATGTGATGAGTAACTGGGAGCCTTTCTATGTGTGTCACGTTAAGGATTTGCCTCTGGTCTAAACCCTTGGCTGCAGACATACGTTATTATCCTGATTACATAAGCTTGGAAAATCTAAATATCCGTGTCTGTCCAGGACAGAAAGGCTATTTTAGGCGTCAGTGTAAACAGAGCTACGAAATAAAGTTTTATGTTGAGATCTGGAATGGTTTTCCGCTTGAAAGTAGGTGGTTCATTGGCAGAAAGTCCCAACAAGTGCAATGGAGTTGCCAGGGCTCTGGTTTAGTGCTCTAATATAATTACATTGTTCAGTGCCCCATGGAGACAAACAGCTGACATCATAGCCTATTTTACAGGAAAAACAAACACAAAGCTATTTTTGCACCAAACAGTCTCTAGACACACATATAGAGCAATAAAATTAGTCTATTTTTCTTCCAGAAAAGCTCAATGACCATAGATTTAATTCTTATTATGCACCAAAACTAAATGTGCACAGTTATGTTAATATGCTCATGTCTGTGTCCTGTGTCCTGTTCTGAATTAACTACTATTGTAGCTTAGTTTCCATATATGATCATAAGACTTCCATATGCAAATGTTCTCTGTTATGATTGGCTAGGCTCTTTGCATGTGGAATGAATTAACAAGGCCTCCTGCTGAATAATCACTTAGGAGTTGATATGTAAATCCAGGCAGTTGTATGTCAGTGTAGATTATGTTGATGTATTAGAGGCATACAAACCTGAATCCGGTCGACCGTCTCCGCTGCGGAATTCTTGCATCCTCTTCTCCAGCTTCTGCTGTCGTCTCCTCTTCATCACCACCTCGGGGTTAGAAATGGTCCTTGTGAAACTGGTCTCTGGCATGTCTTTATATACCTCAGCAGCCAATCTGGAGTTCTCTCTATCAGAAAGAGGGACAAAAGTCAATTCTACATAAAGAGAAACCAAAAATGTCCTTTCACAAATGATTAGGACAAAAAACTGAATGGATTTAGTTTTAAAGATGCTCTTATACGATTTCTTACTAATATCCCTTTTAAACGGACTATTGCCTTTATGTGCATGTCTATCATACAAGCCGAATTAGTTGCTACTCCTCACCCATCCTCGCGGTTCAGTGTGTGATCGTCTCCATCTGGAATTCTGGAAAAGGCCTCCTTCTCCCTCTTCTTCTCTTTCTTCTTCTCCTTCTTGGACAGTGTTCTTTTGAAGTTCTGGATCACCCCCTCCTTCTCTTTCTCAGGGCCATTTGTCAGTGTTCTCTGGTGGAGAGATCAAGAGGAAAAATAAAGAGAAAGATGTTGAGAAAAATTGCAGTGGGATATCAAACAGAGTAGGCTACGACTCTGCTTAGAAAATTAGAATGAATTCTTAATGTTTATTTGTCTTTCGCTTAGTGGACATTTATTATGAAAAAATGTTTGAAAATGAAACTGCATCACTTGCTTTATTTAAAAAAATAAAAATGAATGAATTGTTTTATTTGAAATGTGCATGAACTTATTTTTCATTTTAGGCGACTTTTTAAAATTAATTATTTAAATGATTTTAAATTATAGTTTTTATTAATTCTTATTATAATACTAATAGTTTACACCATTATTTTAAATATTTTTACATTTTAAATAATTATCTGCATTATTATTATAGTTAATATTATTTTCATTCAAGATTACTACATTTTTTATTTAATATTTATTTACATTTTTTTTTAATAATTAATTGCATTATTAATAAATATAAGTTAAAAGGGTGAAAGTTTAAGGCTAAATTATGTGGAACAACATGCTTCTATTGACTTGAGCTCTTAACACAGCTGTGATTTTGCAATACATCATAGGAAACACTCCAAAGATTTACAGGGGGATTTCAAAATATTGTGTTATGAGTGAATAGTAAGAGCCAAAGCAAGGATTGCAGAGTTCAAATTCAAGCATGCTGAACAAGTTACTCTACAAGAGAGCGGCCAGACAGATGTCGCAACATCACTTCAACTCCACATCATCAAATGGTTGAGCTGAGAGCAACTAAGCAGCAGATTTTTAGAACGTTTTCAGTTCACAGTTGATATAAAAGCAATCCGTCCTAAATTACAGACATGAATCACCATTTGCACACTTATGGTCACACTTATCCACCTTTTTGCAACATAGAAGAAAGATATTTTCTGTGAATGTGTGAGACTTCATTGGCTGCTGTAGGTAAAGGACTTGAAGAATAAACAGTAAAACATTATAAAGATCAGTTTCCAATATCAGGCAGCATAATGGTTTTTGTACAGCTTAAATAGCTGGAAGTGAATGTCACCAATGAATTCTCATAGTTGCTTATATTAAAATAAATTTAAGCTTTCGTTCGCAACGTATCTGCAGCAGACAAACGTGAGTGCTGTTCTGTGTGTGTGAAGTTTTGTCTCAAATCTACGTTGACAGAAACATGAATAAAACAGTGATGCTGGCATCCTCTCATCCTAAACACTTACCAAGTTATAGTCGTAAACAGCTGCCACTAGTGCTTACTTTGAGGACTCAAACATATTGTGGTTTAGAAGGTAGAATCGAACTTTGGTTCGGGCCGAACAATCAAACAAAGTGTGAAAACAACCTAAAATGCAAAAAATTGTTGGGATCTACCACCCACACACCCAAACACACATTCCTGCAGACTCAGACACTCCTAGCTCTTATTTTATGTCTCTTTGGGGAGCCTTGCTGCACACAACACTAAAAGCCACTGAAGTGGAGAGAGAGAGAGAGAGAGACAGACAGACAGACAGACAGACAGACAGAGACAGACAGAGTAAAACGGAAAAAAAAATTGATCTGCTCCACTTAAGTGAGGAAATGAAGTGTCTGCTGATGCCTGTGTGTTTGTATGTCCTGAGAGGGTTTTTAACTGATGTGCAATGGGCCGGCTTGCAGAGAAGATGGTTTCGGAGGCCGTCTGAACAGCAGGGGACTAAAAAAGCTGTTCCAACATAACCAAGAGCAGAAAACTCAACAGGAACAAACACAGACACCATCAGTGAATCGTCATAAAACTATAGCTTCTTCTTTCAAGCAGAACAAACCACAGAACCAGGCTCTGTGAAAGCAGGTTGGGTTTGTTTTCTAACTTTTGGTCTGCGTCCACGTTTTCTCACCTTGGGCATGATGTCGTTCTCGTTCTTGAGTACGAAGCGGCCCTCTCTGTCATCTTTGTTCCAGTTCAGCTGTACGACCAGTGGTTTCTCGTCCAAGTCCAGTTTCCTCTCTTCTGTCACAGAGAAAGTTTACGCCGGTCAGAAAATCACCTCTCTATGGACTTTAATCAGAGTAGACTGAAACCAAAATAAGGCTACAGTCCAAATGGGTCTCATTTATGAAAAACAAATTTCAAATTTATGTCAGCAAAAATCTTCCAAATTACAGCATTTAATTCAAAATGGCATTTACTCAAAGAAAGGGTTTAAAAACTTTTACAGAAATTTCATATGTCAATGTTGTTTTATTTATGACTATTTTACAAACTACAGATATTTTTGTCCACTGGAAACTTGTAGAAAGTCACATTTTCAGTGTTTTATCAGATGAACCAAACTAAGGGTGTTTTCCCCCCTTAGCTCGGTTCGTTTGGGCATATGTGAACACGGTAATCGCGCCCGGATCCGCGCCAAAACAATCAGTCCGAGATCGCCTGAACGAGGTGATCTCGGCTCGATTGAAAACGAACTCTGGAGCAGTTCGGTTGTAGTGAGAAAGCAATCCGATCCAACGGACCAGGCTATATCACAATGTATAATGGGTAATTACGTAAGTTTCGTGAAAAGCATTAGCTTTGTTGTTTTGCTAATACTTCAAAATGAACCTGTGAATGTCTGTGGGTGAGCACGTCTTCGCCATTCAAAATAAAAAAGTGCACTTTTTTATTTTATAATGCCGTCTTATTGCTCTTCTTCCTAGTAGGTGCATTTTAAAAATGTTTTCCCGATGAATCCTGGACTCCTGCTCAAAAT